TCCTCCAAGTCCAACAGTTAAGAGAAGGATTTTTTAGTACCCCTCTCCTAAACCCTGATGAACTTCTATACAGATGGAAGTTCCTTTGGGTGAGAAGGAATCAGGAGAGCAGGATGTGCTGTGGTTACTGATTCTCAGGTGGCTGAGACAAACCTGATGCCTCTTAACACCCAGAAGGCCAAACTAATAGCTCTCACCCGAGCTTTACACCTGGCACAAGGTCTGCGAGTTAACATCTATACTGGTTCTAAGTATGCTTACCATGCTCTCCATGCTCATGCAGCCATCTGGAAGGAACGAGGTCTCCTAATCTCTATAAGAACTCCCATCAAACATTCGAAGGAAATTCTACAATTGATACGGGGGTCTTTCCGCCGAAGGAGATTGTGGTGATCCACTGCCTGAGACATCAAAGTGGAACTGAGTGGGTGAGCCAGGGACATGAGGGCAGACAAGCAGGCAAAAGCAGTGGCTTTCCAAGAAGTAGAGTGCCCACTTCCAGACTCACAAACCCTCTTACCTTCCAATGCCCCCATCCAGTACTCCCTAGAAGAGGTGGAGGGGGCGACCTGTGTGGGGGTCTCACTCCAACTTCAGGGTTGGTAGGTGACAACACCAATGGATGTTATCTCCTATCCAGGGGACTCCATGGAAAACACTTAAAGCCATTCACACTCATACCACCTAGGGCAGAAAGACACCTTAATGTTACTAACCCCCAGAATGCCCACTTACGATCCTCAGTAGCTTAATACAAAGGTCAGTGCACTGGAGAAGATTGGCAAATAGATTTTACCCACATACTGAGAGGAAAACTGTTCTGATATCTGTAGTTCTAGTGGACACCTGTACGGGCTGGATTGAAGCTCACCCCTGCTGGCCAGAAAAAGCCCGAGAAGTGGCGTAGGTCCTAGTTAACAAGACCATTTCCTAGTTTGGAGTGCCACACACTCTCCAAGGTGATACTGGATCTGCCTTTTGTTCCAAAGTCACCAAGGGATTTAATGAGTGTTAGGTAATGAACACCATCTCCACTGCTCCTAGGGACCCCAATCTTTAGGACAAGTAGAAAGGGCTAATGGGATAATTAAAAGACATCTGATTAAACCAATAACACGAAGTTAAAGACTCATGGCCACATCTCCTCCCTATCACCCTTATTACAGCCAGAAATACCCCAAGATTCCAGGGCCTAACTTCCTTTGAAGTTAGTTCCTTTGTTTGGGCAGCCCTTTTTAAAAAAAGACAGTCTGCTGGATCAAGAGACTGGGGAATCCCTATCACACATTTAGGCAAAGGCAACTTTTTTTTTTTTTTTTTTTTTTTTTTTTTTTTGGCGGTACGAACAAACCTTTATTGGTTACCACGCAAAAGGGAACAGAGTGCGGGGTTTGACAGCTCCTGTTCCGAGGAAGGCATCCGCAGACCCGCACAGCGCATGCGGAAAAGCGGCAAAGGCAGCATTTTAACAACTTCTGTCAGCCCTCAGATCCACTGAGCCCACCCAACTGGGACGGCCTCTCTCTCTCTCTCTTTAAAAAGATTTATTTATTTGAAAGATAGAGTTACAGAGAGGCAGAGGCAGAGGGAGAGTGAGAGACAGAGAGTTACAGACAGTGAGAGAGGGACAGAGAGAAAGGTCTTCCTTCCGTTGGTTCACCCCCAAAATGGCCGCTACGGCTGGCACGCTGCGCCAATCTGAAGCCAGGAGCCAGGTGCTTCTTCCCAGTCTCCCATGGGGATGCAGGGGCCCAAACACTTGGGCCATCCTCCACTGCCTTCCCAGGCCACAGCAGAGAGCTGGACTGGAAGAGGAGCAACAAGGACTAGAACCAGCACCCATATGGGATGCCAGCGCCGTAGACTGAGGATTAACCAGATGAGCCACACGCCAGTCCCAGTCCTTTGGCACATTAAGGACAGACAATCCCATCCTTGAATGGGTGGGCCCCTGGATTGGAAATTTAGGGACCTCTTTTGGCCAATGTGAATTCAGGCAGCTCATGCCTCCATCTTCAACCTCTCCCTGGCTAGTCCAACAAGAAAGCCTAAACTCCCTAGTGGAGTGCTACAAAATCAAGGGGCACTATACCTTCTTATGGCAGAGTTGGGAGACACCTGTGCCATGCTTAAGGAAACTTGCTGCTTTTGGGTAAATACTTCTCAAAAGGTGGCAGACAACCCCGCAAAGCTAAAAGAATTAATCACAGTCTACAAAAACCTCAATAATAACCTTAACCAAGAAACTTGATTGGGATTCCTCAAAAATCCTCCAAGAATGGATGCAAAATCTAAGCCCCTTCCTCTCCATCTTGGTGTTGGTGATCCTTCTTCGCACCTTTCTTTTAGTTCAACATATCTCCAACAAATTAAATGCCATCAAGATGCAGACCCAAATAGAGCCCCAGATGGCTCTCCCTGGCTCTCCAGGCTGCTGGATCGACCACCTCAGTAGGACAAACTCCCCCACCCCACCACCGCCATGCTCCATAACATCTCCCCTGTTCAGCTTGACGCAGCTAGAGTGGTCATCAACCCCTTCCCTAAGAGCAGTTGGAGGGTCCTCAGACAGGGGAGATGAAGGGTCACAAAGCCCTCAAGTGGGGACAGGCCAAGGAAGCAGATCACCGAGGGGAAGTGGAAAGAGAAAAAAATTGGAACAAGGAAGGGCACAAAATGCCCACTTAGTTAAAGCTAGAGTGCCCATTTATAGCCCCTCCCGCCCTCGTGGATATACATGGGGGAGCCAATCAGATGGGGCTTAAAAAGCACATGTGCAGAGGCGGGGGAGTCAATTTGTTGCTCCACGGTATGGAAGGGTCTTGTCCAAGGGGGAGAAAGATGAAGTGTTTACAGAGACTTAAAAGATGGGTCACACTACAACTGACTCCCAGCCCTGAGGCCCCTCGGTGTGAGGTGTTTGTTTGCTTTCTTGCAGTAAATACATTTCTTTGCTATAGTCTGGATTCCACTCTTTATACTGAGAAGGGTCCTGAGGGAATTTATGACCAACTTTTCCACAAAAATTGACAAGCTTACAAGGAAGCTGTTACCTTCTTCTTTTTTTTTTTTTTTCCCCCCCACAAATCTGACTCCTGAGGATTGCTGCTTGGAATTTCCCCAAACTTTTTAAATGCCAAACATCTGATTGGCCATTGATCACAAAACCAAATTCCTGTTGAATTCATGAAGGAAGCCAGGAAATAAATGGGAGGGAAAACAGATATTAATGCCCCAAAGGCCTATTTCTATATTTCCTCTACCACCAAAATGCTTCAGTAACTTAAAAAACTAGTGTAGGAACAAGTATGAACTTTATTGAGCTACAGACCTGGAGAGGTTAAGGGATGACCAGTGATATATTATTAATAGCCATGGCATTTCCCTTTCAGGCATAACTGCCCCATAAATGACTTCCTCCTTGATTTACTAAGGTATAACTGACAAAAATTGTTTATAGTTATGGTATAAATGCAAGTTCTAAAAAATTAGACATCTTAAAATTTCAATATATTTATTTGAGGCAGAGAGAGAGAGAGCGAGCTCTCATCCATTGGCTTATTCCCCAAATGCCTGCAATGAATGGGGCTGGGCCAGGCCAAAGCTAGGAGCCAGGATCCAAGCACATGAGTCACCACCTGCTGCCTGCCAGGCTACATTAGCAGGAAGCTGTAATGGAAGCAGAGTCGGACATGGGGGTATCACAGCCTGTGTCTCAAGCACTGGGCCAAATGCCCAACCTCTCCTCCTGATTTTCTTTTTTTAATTTTTAAAATTTATTTGAAAGAAATATGCTCTTTCATATCTCATATACTGAGAGATCTTCCATATGCTGGCTCATTCCCCAGATGGCTGCAACCAGGAACCAGAAGCTTCTTCCAAGTCTCCCACGTGGGCGATAGGCTCCCAGACACTTGGGTCATTTTTCGCTTTCTCCAAGCCATTAGCAGGGGGTTGGATCGGAAGTGGAGCAGCCGGGACACAACAGCTAAGCCAGCGCCAGCCCCCGCTTCCTCCGTGATGTTTTGCCCCAGATACACTTTGTGCATGATTAGATCAATTACTGTATCCATCATCTCACATACTTGTGTGTGTGAGAGAGAACGTTTGAGATCTACTTTCTTGGCAACTTTCAAATATACATTATTCACTAGCGTCACCCTGCTGTATAATAGATCTCCAACTTTCCTTTTTTCGATCCTCTCAACACCTTATCCCCGGCCGTGATTTCTTAACTTCCTGTCTTAGACAAGTTACTCAGAATGTTTCTATGAAGCTACGAAGTTGCTCTTCCGCCCTTGGGAAAGGGAGGCAAGAAGCACCGAAAAGGAAAGCACGCATTCTTCATTAAGAACAGAAAAACGGCGAACGATCTGAATCTGGGATCCTGAGCTCATCAGTCTGAAATCTGGACTGGGGGCGGGCGCAGGGAGGGTCCAACAACGAGCTGGCAAAATTACCTCAACTTGCGGAAACTGGAAGACTTTCTTACTGGTTAAAACCCACCAACTTTTCTCAATAAATGAGCCAGGCTGGACTCGCCCACGGCGCCGGCTCAGACCCACCGTAGTGCACCCATCACCGCTCAAAATTTGCAGCCCTCGCTAGAGCACCGGATAGACCGCGCCAGACCTCAAGCAACCCGGAACTCCGCAGAGACGGGCGAGCGCAGCGCGTGTTGGAAACCGGACCAACGTCTCCGGGCGGAGATTAAGCAAGCCGGCGAGAGACCTATCAAATCAAGGTTCAGATAGCACGGCCTTCGGTACAATCCCTCCTAGCTGCCCATCCTGGCGCCGGCTCACACCGCTAAATGGAGAACTCCCCACACACGCCTCAAACTCCCGGCGCCCCTAGCAACCGCCGGCAGTTTAAAGCGGAAGAATGCTCTTTGTCCCGCCTCCGTTAGGCTGAGCGAGGCCTGGCGGGAGGCGCGTTGGCCCAATCGCCTCGACGGGAACTATGGCCAGCCAATAGAAAGCAAGCCTAGGAGGGCGGGCTAAAGAGGTCGCGGGCGCACGCGCAGTTGGAAGCAGGTTCCTGGGTTAAGTGGCGGTGTGGGTGAGTTGGATCCCGGTGAAGTCCCGTGGTTCCTCCGGTTTCCCACATCGCCGCTGCCGCCTAGTTCTGCCCTCACCATGTTCCTCACCCGGTCTGAGTACGACAGGTCCGTGCGGTGGGGGGAAGCTGGGACGGGGTTATGGGTGGGCAGGCCCGGGGCCCGGCCGCGGCCTGGGTTCTGCCGTGTCATGGGGCGCCCCGGGAACCCGGGTCTGGCCGGGCGGGATCTCTTGTCCTCCCCTTGCGCTCGCGGTTACTGCTCAAGCTAGATTTGGGTAAATCGGCCCCACTTGTCCTGCCGCTGAGTCACTGCTCGGTCGTATCTTGGTGCGGAAGTGAGAAGCCCCGGTCTGTGTTAGGAAAGGAAGCCGGGGTCCGGGACTCCGACCTTTAATCCGGAGGCGGGGGTCACCCCCTTACCCATACACCTTTTAGCGTTGAGTACGACTGCTCCCCCCCCCCTTTTTATAAGAAAAAATGTGAAAAAGCACACGGAGACTACCCAGTGGATTTGTAGTATGGTTCACAGGGGTGTATAGTTCTTGGAAAAGCTTGAAGGCAGACTTAGCTATGCCCAGTGTGGAGTCTGCTTTTATAGGAACCAGAGTTTGGAGTGATCTCGAGAGATTTCGCATACTGATTCCACTTGGCTGAGAGTTTTCTGACTTTTAAAATAAAAGTTTAAAGCAGGTTAGTGTTAGTGTTAATATTGAAGTATTAGGGTTGAAGGCCGAATGTAGTGTTTTTAAAAGTCAAAGATTTTGAGGTTATATTTATTAAAAAACGAAGCTTTCAGAGGCTGCATATGCTAATATTAAGTTTTACATATTTATGCTGTAGACATTTTTGCTTTCATTTTCTATTCTGATCAGTATATTCTGATCATAGCTGTTAAGTTTTTTTTTAATAGTTAGGAAATACAGATTTTTTTTGTAGGAACTGACTTAAGAAGCCTCCTTTCTTGTCAAGTATGTTAACCCAAAGTTTCATCACCTGGAACTAGCATTTTTCCATCCTTTTCCTATCTCCTGGAAGATGTATGTGAAGTTTTAAAAATGATTGTCATTCCCATTGTCATATAAAGTGACTTTGTTAGTGTTCAGCTTCTAGGGCATCGAGGAGAACCATCTTTAGGTGATAATTTTGAGTTAGGTTGTGTATGATGGAAATTATCCTTAACAGGAAAATTTTACTAAATTGTGTGAATGTTTACTTAGCATGTGTATTGATTGTTTTGTGTTACTCATTTTTTTGTCTTAACAAGAATGATTGAAGTACAGTCTATCCTTATCCACTTAGTGTGTGTATTTGGGTGCTTCCTACGGTGAACAAAATCAAGATCCTTGTTCCCATATAGGAGGCATCTCTTAAAGAACTGTTCACAAAAATAATTATAGTTTCAGCTAGAAATGTATTAACATTTTCAGAGGATTCAAATCAACCCCGTGGAAGTTTGGATGACAGAGTGCAGTCTGTACTAAGGGATCATGGAAAACTTCATGAAGGAGCTGAAATTTTTAGTGGATCTTGAGGGAGTAGTATCTCAATAAATACAGTGAGTAATTTTGAATTCTGAAAATAATAGGAGCAAAGGAGGGACAGTGGAAAAAATAATGCATGTCTGAGAAAAGTCCAGTTTGATCAGCACATATACTTGGAGTAGCAGTAGATATGGGAAAAACAGAATGGTGTTAGATACTAGATGATTTTCAGTGTGAGGTGAAGGAGTTTTGGTCTCATTCTATGGGCAACTATAAGCTGTTAATTTTTATCTTAAGTTTCATGGTCATTATTGAGCTTTATGGAGATTAGTTGGATTAGAGGAGTGAGTCAGTGCTGGTTTGGGGCTATTACACTAGTTAGGTGAAAGGTAATGAGGGCATCGCAAATGAAAGGAAGGGCGATCTGTGGCTGTGGAAGAGGAATATGCCTTGGCATATGGTTGGATAGGAAAGAAGGGAAGGAACGTGTCAAATAATTCAGAACTTTCTAGCCTGGAAACTGAGAGATTAGAGGTTTTTTTTTTTTTTAATTTATTTTATTTGAAAGTCAGAGTTAGAGAAGGAGAGGCAGAGAGAGAGTCTTCCATCCGCTGGTTCACTCCCCAATTGGCTGCAATGGTCAGAGCTGTGCCAATCCAAAGCCAGGAGCCTGGAGCTTCTTCTATGTCTCCCAAGGGGTGCAGGGGCCAAGGACTTGGGCCATCATCTTCTGCTTTCACAGGCCATGGTGGAGAGCTGGATCGGAAGTGGAGCAGCCAGGACTCGAACTGGTGCTCCTATGGGATGCTGGCACAGCAGGTGGCAGCTTTACCTGCTACACCACAGCGCCAGCCCCAAGACTAGAGGTATTTTAAAATAAAAACTAAAGTAGGAATGGCGGGAGTTGAAGCAAATTTTTCAGGGTGACTGGATTTAAAAAGATAATCTTTCAGATTATAAATCATTGAGGGGTAGGTGCTGATAGGCCAACCAAATGGAAATGTTAAACAGACATTTAAATTAATTAAGACAGAGGTGAGGGGAGGATAGGCATTGTGGTGCAGCGGGGCTAAGCCACTGCCTGGGGCTCCTGCATCCTACACTGAAGACTGGTTTGGGTTCAGGTTCCTCCACTCTCCATCCAGCTTCCTGCTAATGCTCCTGGAAAGGCAGCAGATGATGGCTCAGGTACTTGGGTCCCTGCCACCTAAGTGGGAAACCTTGGCTCCTGGCTTCAGCCTGGCTCAACCCTGGCCATTGAGGTCATTTGGGGTGTGAACTAGCAGAAGGAAGTACGCTCTCTCTCTCCCTTTCTCTATCTCTGCCTTTTAAATAAATAAATAAACTGGCAGCAGACATTGTTGGAACTTGGCACAGATGAGGTAATCCAAGGAAACAGTAAAGTTTGAGAAGAGGGCCAAGAGTAGAAAGACCACAGTATAAGAATCATTTATTGGCAGGTGCCACGGCTCACTAGGCTAATCTTCCGCCTGCGGCGCCAGCACACCGGGTTCTAGTCCCGGTCGGGGCGCCAGATTCTGTCCCGGTTGCCCCTCTTCCAGGCCAGCTCTCTGCTGTGGCCCGGGAAGGCAATGGAGGATGACCCAAGTGCTTGGGCCCTGCACCCGCATGGGAGACCAGGAAAAGCACCTGGCTCCTGGCTTCAGATCAGCGCAGAGCGCCGGCCACAGCAGCCATTGGGGGGTGGGGGGTGAATCAATGGTAAAGGAACTTTCTCTCTGTCTCTCTCGCTCACTGTCCACTCTGCCTGTCCAAAAAAAAAAAAAAATCATTTATTATTTGAGGGAACTAAAGGTAGTAAGTGACAAAACTAGAACTCAATTCCAGGTCTTTTGATCCTAGATATTTCAGTGATCTTCAGAAATTTTTTAAATTTAGTTTTTATTTATTTTTAGGTCAGAGTGGCGAAGAGAGGGAGAGAGAGCAAGCAAATACCTGTAATGGTGGGCTGCTTGGGGCCTATGCCAGGAGCTGGGAATGAAATGCAGGTCTCCCATGTAGGTGGCAGGAGCCCAGTTATTTGAACTATCATCACCTCTTTGTGGGATCTTCATTGGCAGGAAGCTGGAGTCAGGAACTGGAGCCAAGCACTATGATACAGGATATGGGCATCCTAACTGCTAGACTAAATGCCTACTTCCTTAAACTGCTCTTTACATTAAACTGCTCATTTTACATTTCATTTATTTATTTAGTTGGAAGGGAGAGATAGAACGGGGGAAGAGAGAAATCTTTCATCCACTGGTTGATCCCCCAAATGTATGCAACAGCCAAGGCCGGGCCAAGCTGAAGTCAGGAGTCTGGAACTCAGTGAAGTCTTCCATGTGGGTGACACAGTCACAAGGACTTAGCTCATGACATGCTGCCTCCATGATATGCATTAGCAGGAAACTGGAATCAGAAGCAGAGCTGGGACTCCATGGGTGTCCCAAGTGGCTCCGCCAAATACCTGTTCCTTAACTTCTTTTAAATGGGCCTCAAGGTATCACTTAGCCTTTTGGCTAAGATCAAGTGTAGTAATTGGGCCTCAAGGAATTACCTCAGGAACATAGCAGGCTGGGATGGTAGGATTCTCTTTCTACCCCAAATGTAGCCAGAATGATTTTTGAGGCCATACAGTGGAGCAGTTGAGACCTTGGTCTCTGTAGTCAGATGGGCTAAATTCTGTTTCCAGGTCTGTCTCATAGATGCTGAGAGACTTTGAGCAATTTACTTCACTGTGGCTTACCTTCTTCATCTGTAACATATTATCCACCTTAGACTACTATTTTGTAGGATTATTTTGAGGATTAAGTGAGGTAGATTTTTTTTGAGTCATTTAATGGCTTAAAGCAGTGCCAGACATATAGTAAAGGCTAAATAAACTTTTATTATCTGTTTTATATTTTGGGGTTTTATATAAATTTTATTTTGAAAAAAGAGTTTTTGACAAATTTGCGAACACTTTGCTCTAGACCTCATAAACTTTTTTTTTTTAAAGATTTTATTTATTTATTTGAAATAAAGTTACAGACAGTGAGAGGGAGAAACAGAAAGGTCTTCCATCAGCTGGATCACTCCCCAAATGGTCACAACCGCTGGAGCTGTGCCGATCCGAAGCCAGGAGCTTCTTCCAGGTCTCCCACGTGGGCGCAGGGGCCCAAGCACTTGGGCCATCCTCTACTGCTTTCCCAGGCCATAGCAGAGAGCTGGATTGGAAGAGAGCCGCCGGAACTAGAACTGGCGCCCAAATGGGAAGCCGGCACTGCAGGCTGAGGATTAACCTGCGCCACAGCACCAGCCCCCTCATAAACTATTAAAACCATTTTCATGCATTTGTTGAAATATTTCTGGGAGTGGATGATTGGCACAGCAGTTAAGATACCAGTTGGGAGCTTGTGTCCTATATCACCTGGGTTAGAGTCCTGGCTCCACTTCCAATTCCAGCTTCCTGCTAATGTACTTCCTGGGATACAGCAGGTGATAACTCAAGAACTTAGGTCCCTGCAACCCACATATCAGACCTGGCTTGTGTTCTGAGCTCCTGGCTTCAGCCAGGCCCAGCCCTGGCTGTTGTGGGCTTGGGGCGTGAGCCAGCAGATGGAAGCTGTCTCTCTGCCTTTCAAATAAATTTTTTTTAATATTTATTCTATTTGAAAGAGTTATAGAGAGGGATAGAGAGAGAGAAAGGGGTCTTCCATCTGCTGGTTCACTCCCCAAATGACCTCAGTGGCTGGAGCTGGGCCGATCTGAAGCCAGGAGTCAGGAGCTTCTCTCAGATCTCCCATGCAGGTGCAGGGGTCCAAGGACTTGGACCATCTTATACTGTTTTCCCAGGCACATTAGAGGGACCTGGATTGAAAGTGAAGCAGCTGGGACTTGAACCGGTGCCCATATGGGATGCCGATGCTACAGGCCAGGGCTTTAACCCACTGTGCCACAGCACCAGCCCCTCAAATAAACTTTTCAATGTATATTGTTAGAGTCCATTGTTGGGGCAGGCGTTGTGGCGCAGTGGGTTAACAGCCTGACGTGAAGAGCTGGGATCCCATATGGGTGCCGGTTCTAGTCCCGGCTGCTCCTCTTCTGATCCAGCTCTCTGCTATGGTCTGGGAAAGCAGTAGAAGATGGCCCAAGTCCTTGGGCCCCTGCACCTGGGTGGGAGACCTGGAGGAGGCTCCTGGCTCCTGACTTCAGATCTGCGCAGCTCCGACCATTGTGGCCATTTGGGGAGTGAACCATCAGATGGAAGACCTCTCTCTCTCTCTCTCTTCTTCTCCTCTCTCTGTGTAACTCTGACTTTCAAATAAACAAATAAATCTTTATGAATATAAAAAAGTATCCATTGTGTGCTCAAGGGTTTTATAGTTACAATGGTGATTGGTACCTCTTATTTCAAAAACATTGAAGCAAAGAATGATGGGAAAGTGTTTCGGAGAAAAAGTAATCTGGCATGTAATTGGTTTACGTATCTTGAGTAAGTGAACTAGGTTAAGACATAGGAACCACATGGCTCTCAGTCTACTGACAGTGCTGATTCATAAAAATAAGTTGAGAATGACTTGACCATGTATATTGTTTTGTTTGTTTTTTAAAGATTTATTTGATACAGTTACAGGGAGAGACAGAGAAAAATATCTTCCATCCACTGTTTCACACCTCAGTTGGATGCAATGGCCAGGTTGAACCCAGGAGCCAGGAGCTTCATCTGGGTCTCCCATGTGGATGGCAGGGGCCCAAACACTTGGGCCATCCTTTGCCGCTTTTCCCAGCCATCAGCAGGGAGCTGGATGGGAAGTGGAGCAGACAGGACACAAACTGGCGCCCACATGGGATACTGGCATTGTAGGTGATGGCTTTACCCACTATACCCACTACACTACAATGCTGGCCCATGACTCGACTAAAAAGGAAAAAATCAGTTTCTTGGGAATTACCTGATAGTTTTGATCTGTGAACTCATCAAAAGAATTGGTAAGTTGATTCAACATTGATCTAGGTTGATTTAGGATTAAGACACAAGAGTTGCCTCCTCATTGATCAGTTTGGGAGGACTTCCTGTGAGTAGGGCAGAAGTGTTGTATGGATGTTTCCATTGCCTTGAGAAACTGTTAATGTACCCCAAAATGGCTGAGATTGTTGAGGGCAAGTAGAGAATAATAACATGCCTCTCTAGCAGTCTGAGCTAGTTGTGAAGGAACTTGAGGTCATTGTCCAATGACTCATTTTTCTGACAATTTTTTAAAGTTTTTTTTTTTTTTTTTTAATTATAGAGGTGTGAATACTTTTTCTCCTGAAGGAAGATTATTCCAAGTGGAATATGCCATTGAGGCCATCAAGGTATGGTAGCAAATAGCAAAATTTTTGAAATTTTATGGCAACCTAACACTGTTGATAGAGCACTTGGAGTAAATTTGTTTTATCCAGTCCTTTAGAAAATGTTCTATATCTGTTTCACCAACCATTGTTAACCATTTTTTAACAACTTCAATACTACTAACCTCTAAAACTTTTTGACCAGGTAACTGCTTCATATTTATGTAAATAGCTTTTTCTCTCCATGCAGGTGGAAGGGCTTATTGGTTGTATTTATAAAAATCCCCTTGGCTGTCCAGAAGTAGCACCTGTATTGTTTTCTGTATTTTGTTGTATTGAATCAATCGTGTAGCTGACTACCTTTGCATTCTTTTTGGTAAAGTTGTGAATTTTTACTAGACACTTTATGTAGTAAGAGATATTTTGTAATCCAGTAGCATAAGAAATGGATAGTTTGGGGCTGTCATTGTGGTGTAGCTGGTGGGGCTGCTACCTGCAACACTGGCATCCCATATGGGCACCAGTTCCTTTCCCATCTGCTCCACTTCTGATCAGGCTCCCTGCCGATGTACCTGGGAAGGCAGCTGAGGACAGCCCAGGTCCTTGGGTCCTGCACCTATGTGGGAGACCTGGTGGAAGCTCTGGCTTTGGCCTGGCCTAGCCCCAACCGTTGCGGCCATTTGGGGAGCAAACCAGCGGATGGAAGATCTCTCTGTCTCTTCCTCTCTCTGTGTAACTCTGCCATTAAAAAAAAAAAAAAAAAAAAAAAAAAAGAATGAAATGTGTAGTTCAAGTTAGTATTCCAAAAATTAGAAGTAAGTTATCTGTCCCTAAAATTATGAAATCTACATTATTCAATTATGAAGAATCTAAATAACTTTTTAAAGATTTGTTTATTTGAAAGATTTACTTATTTATTTAAAATGCCTCTTTCAGAAGACAGTTCCTATAACTGTTCTGTTCCTCAGTTATCTGCTGGAAAGAGTATATTGGGGGAAGAAGTTGTGTAAGAATCTGGAAATAGGGGAAAGAAATTTTGATTAGTTGAAGACATGGGAGTGAAGTGGAGGCATTATGTTGTGGGACAGAAAATGATGGGCCCTCTAAAGTGCCTGTTCCTATGTTTATTTCTTACAGTCTTTATTGAAAACAGAGTACTGGGAAGTGCTTGACTGTCAGAATTCTAAGCTGCAGCATTTATTTTGAGCCTTAGTGAAGCTAATGGCTCTGCTCAGGTGGGCACACCAAGAGTAATCCCCAGGTTTTCAGCTCCTTAAGGCTCGTAACTTCCAGGTTTTCTAGAGGTTCTGAGGTGGTATCTGATCTCTTTGTCTTAGTTTGGGTTAGGATAGAGGTAGTGGATATGACCCACAGTGGTTGCAACTTAACCCTTGTGAAAAATTCAGGTGTTTTGACATTCAAATAATCTGCTTGTTGCCCTGGCAACTTAAAAATGGACAATATGAAAGTGATTTGATAATCATAAGGCTTTAGTAGCATGAAAGGATCTGGGGTAAAAATGCCTGATGGTAGACATGGCTACTTGGAGGTACCATGCAAATTGTGTGGATGAAGGATACACCCAGTAGAGGTAGAAAAAAGTGCCCTAGGAGTGAAAATGTCAACATTATTGTATTATATTGAGCACCTAGCCATTGATTACTGTGTTAATGAGTTACATCCAAGAGATATCACATATAGTCAGTTCAGATGTTCCTTGTCTTCCCTTCCCCCTCTCCACAGTCCTCAAAAAGGGTGGTTGGGGGAGAAATTTAGGCAGAATTATAACACTGTAAGTTCTGGAGGGAAATGTAACTGTAAGAAAAAAGTTATCTTGAATTTTGATCTATGTTGTAAAATAGTCTGTCAGTAATATTGACCCTTTTTTTGGAGTGGAAGCCTAGAAAGTTATTTTACATTGGAGGCTAAACTGAACAGACTGAGAATTTATTTTTGGGCTGTGAGACCACTTCCTCCATGCAGGAACTATTGACATTTTGGACTGGTTAATTTTTCTTCAGAGAAAGTGCATCTTGTGCAATTTTTTAAGAGATTTATTTGTTTGAGAGGCAGAGGCAGAGAAAGAGGTCCTCCATCCTCTGGTTCACTCCCCAAATGGTCACAACAGCCGGAGCTGGGCCAATCTGAAGCCAAGAGCTCCCACATGGGCACAGGGGCCCAAGGGCTAGGGCCATCTTTCATTTCCTTCCCAGGCCATAGCAGAGAGCTGGATTGGAAGTAGAGCAGCCAAGACTTGAACCTGCGTCTTTATGGGATGCCAGCACTGCAGGCAGAGGCTTTACGCGCTACACCACAGCGCCAACCCCCTGTTTTACTTCTTGTGTTAGAAGTTCCTGGGAAGAACTTGACAGCCTGGTGCTGCTGCTCCCTGGAGGCAGCGGCTCTGGCCTGTGACTGCAACCGTGTGAAGGTCAGTCTATATTCAGCACATTTAGTAATTCAAAAACATGAACATAGGAAGTAAATGAGCTTCCCCCACCCCCACCCCACAGCAGCCTGGCTGTCTCATACAGATGGAGGGCAGCTGTCCATGGCAATGCTTCCCTGGTGGGGCTTACCAGCCTGGGGTCTGGGGGTGAATGTGCAAAGGTGAGAGGGAGACCCTGATGAAAAGGGAGCGTGGAGCCCTGCTTTTTGAAAGATCTTCCTGGGAACTGCATTGTGGCCCAAGGGGTTAAGCCATGGCCTGTGACAGCAGCATCTCCTATCAGAGTGCCTGTTCCAGTCCCAGCTGCTCCTCTTCCAATCCAGCTTCCTGCTAATGCACCTTTAGAAAGCAATTACCAGGGCCCCTGCACCCACAAGGGAGATCCAGGTGGAGTTCCTGGCTCCTTCCTGACTTCAGTCTGGCCCTGTCTGAGCTGCTGGAGTCATACAAATAAAACATATCCAAAAAAGAAAATCCTCCCATCCCTGAGTGTCAGGGTGCTCCCAGGAACTACAGGGAGAAAGGGGACCCCTATCAGTGGCAGCAGTGCCCCCCCCTCCCCCGGCATTGGAGACACCAAGGCTGGCTGTGTGACATGGACTGATTCAGGCTCTTGGCTGACAGTATTGAATCCTCACAGTGTGCCTGAAAGGCCGGCTCTGTCGTCACCCTTGCCTTACAAGTGTGCAGCCATGGCTTCCTGGCCCCAGGCCCCCAGGGAAGAAGTGACAGATGCTGGCTTCAGAGCCAACTCTCCCAACCCCACACCACACCACCTCCACTGACATGGAAATTGGTCTTCCCTGGAGGATTTTCTTATTTTTGAAGATTTATTTATTTATTTGAAAGGCAGAGTTAGGGTGGGGGAGAGACACAGAGAGAAAAAGGTCTTCCATCAGCTGGTTTACTTTCCAAATGGCTGCAACAGCTGGGGCTGGGCCAGGCTGAAGCCAGGAGCTTCAGCCAGGTCTCTCACGCAGGTGCAGGGGCCCAAGCACTCAAGCTATCCTTCGCTGCTTTCCCAGGCCATAAGCAGGGAGCTGGATCGGAAATGGAGTAGTCAGGACCCCAACCAGCATCCGTATGGGATGCCAGCGCTGTAGCAGTGGCTTAACCTGCTATGCAACAGCGCCAGCCCCATCCAGAAAATTAAACTAAACTGGGGCCAGGAGGCACTGGCTTACTAGCCCAGGCCAAGAGCCCTCCATCAAAGGGGTACCGGTGCACTAGTATGTAAATCCCTGCTCAGGTCCTTATGACAACCTAGTGAGCCAAGACATGCAGAAGAGAGGTCGACGTGCTCAGTGAGTCTGCAGGAGGATATTTTACCTGCTATATCACAGCGCCAGCCCTGCTTCTTGTGCATTGTAAGGTGTGTGACATTTTTGACCACCACCTATTAGATGCCTGTTAACATTCATTGTTCCTTTTGTGACAACCAAAAATGTCTCCAGTCTTTGCCAAATATCAGGGGGCAAAATGACCTCCAGTTGAAGAAGATTTCTGAATAAAATTTAAATATTTTTTCTTTTTAGATAAAATTTTAAAATAGGCATGAATTCTGTCCTGCCCTGTTCAGTTGGGGATATAAGATCAGTATACATAAAACATAATACAAGCAGAGAACAACTAAACTGATAGATTCAGTTTTCTGGGAATGGTTTCTGATTTTTCTTTTTTTTTTCCCCTAAGATTTATTTATTTATTTGAAAGGCAAAGTTACAGAGAGAGGGAGAGACAGAAAGATCTTTATCTGATCTTTCATCTGCTGGTTCATTCCCTAAATGGCCACAGTGGCCAGGGCCGGACTAGGCTGAAGCCAGGAGCCAGAAACTCCATCCTGATCTCCCATGTTGAGTGCAGGGACCCAAGTACTTGGGCCATCTTCTGCTGCTTTCCCAGGTGCATTAGCAGGGAGTTGGATCAGAAGTGCAGCAGCCAGGACTGAAACTGGCACCTGTATCATAGGTGGCAGCCTAACCTGTGCCACAACACTGGCCCCATTTTTTAATATTTTATATAGATAGGTAGATAGTTTTAGAGGCAGAAGGTAAGTTCTATAAGCCTGTTAACAAACACAGCAATCTCTGGTGCCTGCTCCATCTATTTTCAGCTTCTTAGCGGCAACACTTTAAAACTCTTTTAGCTGATAATATTCTTGGCATTTATCTCTGTATTTCTAGAACACATACTTATATTTTTTGTTAGATATTATCTATGGACTTTTCATTTTGGAGGATGAAGATTTCTTTTTTTAAAAGATTTATTTAACAGGCAATGACAGAGAAAGAGAAAGATCTTCCATCCACTCATACATCCTTTGTAATAACAGGCTCAAGTCTGGTGTTCACATTTGGCAGTCATTGTTTGTAGGTCTAACTAAATGGTAATGGGAGTTCAGAGGAGAGAACACAGTCCTGACAGGCTTTGTGAGTGATGGATGGAATCTGGATAGGCAGAAGGAAGACTGTATTCCAGGGGAGATGGCCCGCGCCGCGGCTCACTAGGCTAATCCTCTGCCTGCGGCGCCGGCGCACACCCCGGGTTCTAGTCCCAATCGGGGTGCCGGATTCTGTTGCGGCTGCTGCTCTTCCAGTCTAGCTCTCTGCTGTGGCCCGGGAGTGCAGTGGAGGATGGCCCAAATCCTCGGGCCCTGCACCTGCATGGGAGACCAGGCTTCGGATCAGCGCGGTGCGCCACAGCAGCCACTTAGGGGGTGAATCAACGGCAAAGGAAGACCTTTCTCTCTGTCTCTCTCTCTCACTGTCCACTCTGCCTGTCAAAGAAAAAAAGAATAAGTAACATTTGTTCATTCATTATGTAATGGGCACCATTTTAAGCATTTTATGTATCCCTGTGTTTGCCTTTGTAACAGCATAGATAGGTAGATGACTAGGATGGGAACTTGGAGCAGGAGATGAATTAAAGCTATATGGTAGGCTGCTGTTGGCCTTGAATATTTTTATGGTGTAGTAGTTCTTTTCTACTCTTCTTTCTCTCTCCACCTTCCCTCCCTTCTTCCTTTCCTTCCTTTGTCAATTATTTTTCCAGAGGTTTAGGAAATATCACCTTTGGGGATAGACCAAGATAAATAGCAGAAGTGAAAAGAAACCAGGTGCAGAGCAGGCGTTAGAGATGTATTACTATCTCATCCATATTTAGAACTTTAGAATTCACCTCCCACTGCATTGGACTGGCATTTTTTTAGAATTTTCAAGACTTTATTGAACTTTCTCTTTAGAAGTATGTAACTGTACATCAGTGTTCTTGCTGTTGATAGGAATAGCATATAGAAGGATGCTGCTTGTTCTGTGCATATTAGGTATAGCTGATTAAATCTTCTGTCTTGTGAAGATGTGCAGAGAGATCACTGGTGAATGTGCAAACTGTTCTTTGGCTTGTTCATGGTAACCATAACATGTTTCTCTTTAGCTTGGTTCTACAGCTATTGGTATCCAGACAGCAGAGGGTGTTTGCCTGGCCGTGGAGAAGAGAATTACCTCCCCACTTATGGAGCCCAGCAGCATTGAGAAAATTGTAGAGATTGATGCTCACATAGGTAAGGAGTCAGGGAAAGCTGTTCTGTGGAATCTGGTGTGGGTTAATTACTTCTCTGATGTCTGAAAGAAGGTTCATGAGATGCATGCCTTACCCTCTTGTTAGCTGTTGTTTTCCAGGCAGTAGGCCAGTGTGTACAACTTGAGGAGTAGCAAGCAAAACTCATTTATATTTAACCTATTCCTGAAGTTCTTCTCTTCCTCAAATTTAGACTTGGGAAATATGATTGTTGTGGCAAGGTTTAATCATCATAGGCCATCATAGGCAAGCTCCCTGTGATGGCTGGGTCTTCATTAATGTATAATGTATATGTTACATAATAATATATAATGTATATATATTGTATATAATGTATAATGTTAGCCTTGGTAGGAGGCTACCAGGTTCAGAGGGAAGCTAGGGTGTCCACTGAGACCACACAAAGTTGTTGAGAGTGACTAAGGTTCAGAGAGTAATAAGAATAATTGTCTGAGTAGATCAGTTTTCTAACACAGTTTTCAGATTTACCTTTTTTTCCTTAACCCATCCTACCCCCCTTCTTCAGTGATTATAATTCCCTGTCTTGGTCTGTGTATCATTGTAGCATTACAGAGTGAGCACTTTTGTTTACTTATAGCACATTTTAGTTTGCTATCCAAATTTTCTTTCATATCTAGGCAAGTAATTAATGACACATTGATAAAATAATTAATTGCTTAAAGGCCTTTGAACCAAATGCCATTATGAGTTTGGGAGCTTGATACAGGTTGAGCATTCCTTATCCTAAAATTCAGAATGCACAAAAATCCAAAACTTCCTATGTATCCAAGTGATACCACAAGTGTGATGGTTCACTGTGTACAAACTTTATTTTGTGTATAAAATTACTTAAATTAATGTATAGGATTACCATCAGGTTATTTATATGAGGAGTATATGAAACATAAATTTTTTATTGAGACTTGGATCCCACCCCAAGATACCTCATTCTTCATTTTCAAATAATCCAAAATCTGAAATCCAAAACACTTCTAGTCCTGAACATTTTTGAGAACCCTTACTTAATCTATATTATCCATCTCATAGATAAACAGATTTAATTCTTGAAGATTACAGCATTGATCTAGTTGATTTCAAAGTCACCTGATTTTTGGAGATAGATCAGTGTCATTTTATTCACCAAATTGAGAATCTGCAATGTGCCTGACACAGTGCTAGATACAAGATAGTGAGTCAGAGTCTTCCAGGAGCACACAGTCTAATTGTGGTGGATATGATGTGAGTAAGTAATTGCAATTAAGTGGTATAGATACCAAGGAAGATTCTAGTGTGTGCTCAGTGGTCAAGGAGGAAATAGCTAGTTTTGCTTGGAGTTAGTGGTAGTAGAGCTTTCAGGAAAGGATTCTATGAAGGAGATGCTTGAGCTGAGTTCAATTCTAAAAGCTAAGGAAGAGTTTACCAGTGAACAAAGAGTTTAGTAGCCGAGAGCATTGTCGTTAGAGGGAATAGAAATGAGCAAAGTTCCAAGGCACAAGTGTTTTTAGTATGACTGGGAGATGAACTGTCACAAAAGATGAGTCTGAGATCAGAGTGGAAGTCCTTTTTTACCACGCCAAAGAGCCTAAACTTGATCCTTTTGCAGTGGTGGGAAAGGTATTAAGCAATGAGGTAGTATGATCCCAATATGCTGTTAAAGATAAACTGTGGGTGTTGAAGAGGCAGGGAGACTAGTTAAGAAACTTTTTTTTTTTTTTAAGATTTATTTATTTATTTGAAAGTCAGAGTTACACAGAGAGAAAGAGAGAGACTGAGAGAGAGGTCTTTGATCTACTGGTTCACTCTCTAGTTGGCTGCAATGGCCAGAGCTATGCCAATCCAGAACCAGGAGCCAGGAGCTTCTTCCGGGTCTCCCATGCGAGTGCAGGGGCCCAAGGACTTGGGCCATCTTGTACTGCTTTTTTAGGCCATAGCAGAGAGCTGGATCGGAAGTGGAGCAACTGGGAGTTGAACTGGTGCCCATATGGGATGCCTTGCTTAGAGGCAGTGGCTTCACCTGCTACAACACAGTGTTGGCCTCAATAAACTTTTTTTTTTTTTTTTTTAAGATTTATTTCTTTGGAGGCTGGTGCGGTGGCGCAGTAGGTTAATCCTTCACCTGCAGCGCCGACATCACATATGGGCACTGGTTCTAGTCCCAGTTGCTCCACTTCTGATCCAGCTCTCTGCTGTGGCCTGGGAAAGTAGTGGAAGATGGCCCAAGTGCTTTGGCCCCTGCACCCGTGTGGGAGACCGGGAGGAAGTGCCTGGCTCCCGGCTTTGGATCGGTGCAGTTCCAGCTGTTGCGGCCATTTGGAGAGTGAACCAATGGAAGGAAGACCTTTCTCTTTGTCTCTCCCTCTCAGTGTCTGTAACTCTACCTCTGAAATAAAATAAAATCTTAAAAAAAAAAAAAGAAAAGATTTATTTATTCATTTGAAAGAGTTGCAGAAAGAAAGAGATCTTCTATCTGCTGGTTCACTCCCCTAATGTCTGCAACGGCCGGAGCTGGCTGATCCAAAGCCCAGAGCCTGGAGTTTCTTCCTGGTCTCCCACATGGGTACAGGGGCCCAAGCATTTGGGCCTTCTTCCACTGCTTTCCCAGGCCATAGCAGAGAGCTAGATTGGAAGTGGAGTAGCTGGATCTTGAACACTGCAGCCAACGGCCTTACCCACTATGCCATGTGCCAGCCTCAAAAAACTTTCTTAGTTGTCTGAACAAGCAGGTGTTTAACATACTAGTTAAAACACCTGGATTCCATATCAAGAGTGCCAGGGTTCAATACCTACCTCCAACTTCTGCCTCACTCCTGCAGACCCTGGAGGTAGCAGATGATGGCTCAAGTTATTAGGTTTCTGCCACCTACTTGGGAGACCTGAATTAAGTTCCCAGCTCCTGGCTTTGGCCTCAGTCCAGTCTTAGTCATTGTAGGCATTCAGGAGTGAACTAGTGGATGGGAGGACTCTCTCTTGTTTCTGTCTGCCTCTCAAGTAAAGAGAAGTGAGCTAGTTTGGGAATTTGCTGTTGAGAAAGAAAGAAAAATAGTTCCAACACATAGATGATGAAGGCTTTAACCGAGGCATTGGCCAGAAAATGGAGAGGAAGGAACTAATGCCAGACAGATTGATCAGAAAGAGATTGACAGAACTTGGGATCTGGTTGGTTGGGTAGACCAGGGAAGAAGATAGGTCTCGAAGGAAATAGTAACAGCTGTTAATCTTGGTATGTTGGACAGTCAGGCAAACTTTCCAATCTAACTAGTTGGTTTGTGTTTGGGACAATGAGGTGAGAAGGCTTTATTCCAGAGTCTTCCACTGTAGCCCACAGTGAGTGGCTTTCTTTTCCTTATTTCTCAGGTTGTGGCATTAGTGCTTGCTTAGTTTTCTTAGTTCAGAAGTGTATTCTGGCCCACCAGGAATGCCAAAGGGATGCCTACAGGTATAATATATAGAAACCTGTGTTTGGTTAGCTGCTGCTCTTCTATCTTGTCTGGACTTACGGATCACAGTGCATGGTTTCGTTTATAACGTCATTATACTTGGGTTCAGTGTAGATCGTTTCCCATCTAATCTGCTGGGTATATTGCCCTAAGATTGCTGTTGTGGTTCCACTCTGGGATTTCAGTTTTTCCATGAGTAGATGGGAGGGTCCTACAAAGTTTTGGCCACTGGATCACTGTTGCTTTTACATTGCAGGTTGTGCCATGAGTGGGCTTATTGCTGATGCTAAGACTTTAATTGATAAAGCCAGAGTGGAGACACAGGTAAAATGGGCATCATCTCTTCTTTTTATCAAGATGCTTGAGTTTCTTGTTTAGCGATGATATAGCTGCCTGGGCTTATTGCAGGTATCTGTGTCATTTTTAGATGTGGCTCTTGGGAGTGACTTTGGGTAGACTTCCCACTTACAACTCCCTGGGGTTTAGAGTTTAGCCATTCAGCAGATGGAGCTTTAAGGAAGCTCTGGTCAATACTACTTACAGTCTTTTGCTTCTTCTGGATTTGCCTTCTATGAAGCAAGCGTGCTTTTCACTGCATTCTGTTCCCTAATTGGCTTTCTGTGGGAGCATGCTGGTGGGAAGTGATGAGAGTTAAAGAACATTCCTCTCAAAACTGCCTTTGCTGCCAGGCTTGCAGGTGACAGCTCTCTAGTGAGTTGTTACACCAGATGACAAATACTGCTCAAGAATGCTGATTTTGTTTTTTTAACTGTGGTCCTGCTGCCTTAAGAGTAGGCTAGAGGGCCCAGCGCCATGGCTCACTAGGTTAATCCTCTGGCTGCGATGCCAGCATCCCGTATGGGCACCGGTTCTAGTCCCGGTTGCTCCTCTTCCAGGCCATCTCTCTGCTGTGGCCCGGGAAGGCAGTGGAGGATGGCCCAAGTGCTTGGGCCCTGCACTCATGTGGGAGACCAGGAGGAAGCACTTGGCTCCTGGCTTCGGGTTGATGCAGCGCCAGCTGTAGCGGCCATTTCGGGGGTGAACCAGCAGAAGGAAGACCTTTCTCTCTGTCTCTCTCTCTGTCTGTAACTCTATCTGTCAAATAAATTTTTTTAAAAAAATCTCATGGTAAAAATGTTTGTGCTTATTTTCAGATTTCTCTCAGTACTTAAGTAGGAATAAGTCATTTACCTTAAAGAACAATAGAATGATAACTTAGGGCCGTTGAGGGAAAGTGACACTTGGCTGTCAGTGATCACCTTATAAAAAGACTGAACTTATGCTTTCAGGGGTTAATCCTGTTTATCAAAGGATGATTCTCTAGTCCTTCGTTGCTTAGAGTCCTTTCGATATGTTTGTTTCCAGAGCTGTTTCTCTTCTCTCATACAGTCCCACATACTCATGTTGGTGTTAATTAAGAAAAGCATTTGAAGCTTCAGTTCTCAACCACAGTTCAAAGAGATGCATATAGTAAGCTGGCGGGCTGCTCTAATGCCCTTCGTACTTGAAATGTGTACCATTCTTTGCTCTTCTTCTAGAACCATTGGTTCACTTACAACGAGACAATGACAGTGGAGAGTGTGACCCAGGCTGTATCAAATTTGGCTCTACAGTTTGGAGAAGAAGATGCAGATCCAGGTGCCATGGTGAGTATGAAGCTTGTGTCAAGTTTTCTTACAGTTTGTCCTCTGTATATCTTTCCCAGCCTCCTCAATCTCCTTCCTTTATAGCCACTTAGTTTAATCACTCTTCCTTTTGATTCTAGTCTCGTCCCTTTGGAGTAGCACTGTTATTTGGGGGAGTTGATGAAAAAGGACCCCAGCTGTAAGTACTGTTTTGCCATTTTTTCCTCCTATGTTTGGAGGGAGTGTGTGTATGTGTATTTTAATTTAGGGTAGGACTGGTAGTTTAAATTAATGAGAAGATTATTTGTAGAGATGTAGAAAAGGGACTTATGTTGCTAAATTTCAGTGTGCTTTCTTTCCTCTTTTTTTTTTTAAGGTTTATTTTATTTATTTGAAAGGCAAAGTGACACAGAAAGAGAGAGATCTTCTGTTCACTGGTTTACACCGCAAGAGGCCACAACAACTGGACTGGGCCAGGCTAGGGGTGGGTCATACTGAAGCTAAGGAGCCAGATCCCCATGTGGGTGGCAGGGGCCCAAGTAATTGGGTCATCTTCTGCTTTCCCAGGTGCATCAGCAGGGAGCTGGGTGAGAAGCAGAGCAGCTTGGACTCAAACCTGTGCTCCTATGCATCACAGGCGGGAGCTTAACCTGCTGTACAAATTCCCAGTTCTCTGCTATTTAGACCAACACATTGGGGGTTCTATAGAGAACTTCCCTTTGGAATCAGTGGTAATTTTAGGAAGAATTAGAAGTAACTTTGTTACTGTACTCAGCGTATGTTTAAGAGTTTTGTTTTTCTGGTCTTCATCCTCAAATCCTATTTGGATAAATGTATATGAGTACCATAATTATGTATACTATACTTCTAAGTCTCTGAGGAAATTGCTACTTTTCTTAAATACTATTTAAAAGATCCAATTTCTGTTGGGGTTAATGCTACTGACACCAGCATCCTATGTCGGAGCACGGGTTCAAATCCCAGCTGCTCTGCTTCCAGTTTGGCTCCTTGTTAATGTGCCTCGGAGGGCAACAGAGGATGGTCCAAGTGCATGGGCCTCTGCACCCACGTGGGAGACCTGGAAGAAGCTCCTGGCTTGGGCCTGGCTCATCCCCAGCTATTGCAGCCATTTGGAGAGTGAATCAATAGATGAAAGACTTTTCTCTTTTTCTCTTTCTTTGCCCTCTCTTTCTCCCTCTCTCTTCCTCCCCAACCCTCCTTGTCACTCTGTCTTTCAAATAAATAAATCAATCTAAAAAAAAGATCCAGTTTTCCAGACATAGAACATCTTTTGGCTCTGCGCCTTGGTGTTTCAGTGGCGTTTCTTGGCTGCATGGTCAAACATTTATCTCTTTTAGTGATATGTTTGTTACATAATATGTCATCACTGTGAAGCATTTGGATCCTCTTTACAGGTTTCACATGGACCCATCTGGAACCTTTGTACAGTGTGATGCTCGAGCAATTGGCTCTGCCTCAGAGGGGGCCCAGAGCTCCTTGCAGGAAGTTTACCACAAGGTAATATTTATCCTGTTATTATTTCTGAAGTCAAATAACTTGCATATAATAAAATATACAGACATTAATAGTTTAGTTCTGTGAGTTTTGACAGTTTTATACCTCCTTGGAACCTCATCCTAAAGTATGCACAGTACTTCCATCATCACCCTTAAAGTGCTCATCCACCTTCTCATCAACTTTTCCCCTCCCTTGTAACCATGTTTACCACTGTAGGTGCATTTTTTTGTTCTTGTACTTTTTATAAATGGAATTTTACAGTTTGTATTTTTTTCTTATTGTTTTTAACATACTGACTCTGAGAGTCATTCATGTCGTTTTATCAATAGGTAGTTCCTTTTCACTGCTGAGTGATATACCATGGTAGGGACACGTGTTTATTCTCTACCCTCACAGCTTTGCTTAGCAAAAGCTTTCTACCCTGGTTCTCAGAGCCTCTGGGCATTTGGCAGATTTGATTTGGGTAGCTCATTGGTGTAACTAAAGGCTGCCATACTTACCATTTGGGTAGTTCCTACAGGGATGCCTGTTCATATCGATTGCTAGTAGTAGTGATTTTATATGTGGGAGCAATTAGGCACAAAACAGAATTAAAAAAAAAAAATGATTTCTAGGGGCCGGCACCATGGCTCTAATGACTCTAATCCTCCGCATATGGCACTGGCATCGCATATGGGCGCCGGGTTCTAGTCCCGGCTGCCCCTCTTCCAGTCCAGCTCTCTGCTGTGGCCCAGGAGGGCAGTGGAGGATGGCCCAAGTGCTTGGGCCCCTGCACCCGCATGGGAGACTAGGAGGAGGCACCTGGCTCCTGGCTTCGGATCTGCGTAGCTCCAGCCATGGCAGCCATGGAAGACTGCTTGTCTTTCTGTCTCTCTCACTGTCTAACTCTATCTTCAAATAAAAAAAAAAAGTGTGTTTCTGAACTCTCAATTTGCCTTCTTAGATTTAGGGTATTTTTATTCATGGGATATCAGTATTACATTGTCTTAATTCTAAATTAAAATTTAGAGGAATTCTTTTTTTGTGGTTTTTTTTTTAAGTTTTTATGTAATAAATCCATTTTTTTCATAGATAGAACTTTAGGAATACAGTGGTTCTTTCCCCCAAATCCCCACACTTCCCTCCCATCCCACCTTCCTCTCCCCCACCCTCTCCCTCTCCCTCTCCCTCTCCCATTCCCATTCCCTCTCCCATCTTCTTCTTCATTATGGTTCATTTTTAATTTGACTTTATATGCAGAGGACCAACTCCATGCTAAGCATAGACTTCAACAGTTTGCACCCATGCACACACACACAACATATAAAGTACAGTTTGGGAACAAAATTTGCAGTCAGTTCTCATATTACAACTCATTAGGGACAGAAGTCCTATATGGGGAGTAAGTGCACAGTGACTTCTGTTGTTCCTTTAACAATTAACACTCTTATTTATGATGTCAGTCATCATCTGAGGCTCTTGCCATGGGCTGCCAAGGCTGTGGAAGCCTTCTGTGACCATATACTGCATCAGTATTTGGACACGGCCATAATAGAAGAATTCCTTACCATCACTAAATCCAAGTTGGCAACTTTGTTTTACCTTAAAATATGGTATTGGTTTCTCTGAATAAGTGGGTTTTACTTATTTATTATCTATTGGAATTCTGGATACACTTGCAACAGACTGTACTAATTAAGATGTCTGATTTTTATTAATACTTGCTAAATCATTCCTTCGGGTAGTTAAAAGGGAGCTCTTTGAAGAATGGAGGAATTATGTACATTAATGACTCATTTTGTCACCTTTTTTGTTTCAAGTCAATGACACTGAAAGAAGCAATCAAATCTTCACTCATCATCCTCAAACAAGTCATGGAGGAGAAGCTGAATGCAACTAACATAGAGGTACTTGGCTGTTTTTTGTTTTTGTTTTCCAGATACTGTAGCTCCCACTGCTGAAGATGGACTAGATGGAGAAAGTCACATTCTTGTATGCTATGCTCTTAAGTTATTGATAGCCTCTGAATAATAAGTAGCTTTAGTAAGGTGGTGTGTTGCAGTTGATTTCTTAACAGTGTTGCAGTGGATTCGTTTCTGAGAGGAGGAGCATGGTGGGTGCAAGAGGCTCGGAGTCACCACACAGACCCCGGGAGTCTGGTGAAAGTGGGCTTGAGGCCAGCATTAGTACAACAGCTTATATAGCCAAGACCAGCCAATCCGGTCAAGGGGTGGTCTATGCCCCAACCAATCACAGTCTGTTGCCAGGCAGTCTCCTTTGCCAGGTGGGTTTCAAAGCCATTCCTGAGTAAGTGACGCTCGCTTGCCAGCGGCCATCTTGGCATGGCCTTCTCATTCCACCACAGTGGTGATGGCAGAAGTCAGAATTCAATGAGTTAAAGAGTGAAAGGGAGGTGATAAAGTAGAAATCAAGACTATATTACTTCCTCAAGAAGTTTGGTTAGTGTCAGCAGAAGACAGCATTGAAAAAAAGGAGTTTTATTTCTGAAAGGATGGGGAAAGATGTGAAAATACTTGAATAAACTGAGAAGAAATTAGTGGATAGAAAAGGGGATGATAAAATGCATTCAGCTTTATATCAAGTACCCATCATAAGGCAGGTGCTATGCTAGATGGCAGGATACAGCTACAGAAAATCCAGTGACTACATTACACTGGGTAGTGTAAGGAACATATGGATAATAGGAGTTTGAGGTGATACTTCTATACTATCAATAAGAACAGATTGCCATGAAAACATACAACTTAGGCCAGCACTGTGGCTCACTTGGTTAATGCTGCACCTGCGGCACTGGCATCCCATATGGGCGCCAGGTTCTAGTCCCGGTTGCCCCTCTTCCATTCCAGCTCTCTGCTGTGGCCCGGGAGGGCAGTGGAGGATGGCCAAGTGCTTGTGCCCCTGGCCCCACGTGGGAGAACAGGAAGAGACATCTGGCTCCTGGCTTCGGATTGGCGCAGCACCGGCCGTAGTGGCCATTTGGGGAGTGAACCAACGGAGGGAAGACCATTCTGTCTGTCTGTCTCTCTCACTGTCTATAACTCTACCTGTCAAGTAAATTAAAAAAAAAAAAATAGAACATACAACTTAGATGAGGGCATTAGGAGAGCTTCCTGAAAGAGGCAGTGTCTGGAGAAGGGAGCAACAAGCACAAAGTCTCAAAAGATGTAAAATAGCATTGTACATAAAAGAAAAACTTGGGGGTTTTGTCTCATTACTGGTATGTCAGATATAGGAGGTTCTTTAAAAAGTTCATGGAAAATGGAATTAAAAGATAACTTTTATTTTAGTGAAAAAAAAATTTGAAATTATCTATGGAGTGGGTCTTCAGAAAGTGCATGGAAAATGTGTATTATGAAAAAAATGCACAGATTTCAAAGATTTTATATCAAAATAAAATAATCTTTTAATTCCCCCTTTCAACAGACTTTCTGAAGGACACTTGAGTGTAAGATATAAAAGACTGGGAAGAAGTGAGTCTGGAGAGGGATGGGCCAAATTCTGAATGTTACCACGAATGGTACATGTAGGTAGGAGGGAAGGGATCACGATGAGTAAAGATAGGTAGGCCTGGAGTGGTGTCCTCTGTTTCCCTGGTGATTGTTGGCTCACCTGCTGAGGGTGGACGAGTGCAGCAGTGAAAGGGAGGAGAAGGGGAATATTCGGGAAATTCATTATGGATGATGTGGATGAGTAAAAGAATTGCATGCCAGGCCAAAGTCAGGAGCCAAGAACTCTGTCCTGGTCTCCCACATGAGTGGCAGTGGCCTGTGTATTTGTCTTCTCAGGCATATCAGCAGGAAGGTGGATTGGATGGAGTAGCCCAGAATCAAACCAATATGAGATGTTGTGTCCCAGGTGGCAGCTTAACCTGATACACCACAGTGCTGGCTCCCTGCTTGTCATTTTTAAAAGGGCATTTTGTTGAGGTCAAATTTATATACAGTAAAATGCATCCATTTTAAGGATACAGTTCATTACATTTTTGATCTGCCACCACAGTCAAGATAGGGAACATTTCCTTCCTCCTGAAAAGTTCCCTCATACCCCTTTGTAGTCACTCCCCCACAGTGATCTACTTTCTATAAATAATGGTTTCATGTTCTAGGACTTTATATAAATGGACTGTGCTCATGTACTCTGTCTAACACCTGCTCAGCATCACGGTTCTGAGGTTCGTGTTGCGTGTCTCTTGTGTGTAGTATGTTATTGCTGAGTGCCATTCCATCTGTCCTGATTTTTTACCTTTAGTGCAAGTCTCTGCCAAATATAATCCATAATCAGGAATCATAAGGCATCTCCTCTTGTTTATTTTTTAATCACTACCATTTGTTTTGACTTTTACTATTTCTGAGACTGCTACTTGCTAAGATAATTTCTGCTTGTCAGATTTTCTGATTACTTTTTAGAACTATTATTTGATCTTTCTTGTCTGAATCTGACAGCTCTAAAATAAAAATGATTATCTTTCCTGAAAACCATTTCCTCTTCCCATTCCCCTAATTCTGGTTGATGGCACCATCGGAGTACTTACCATTCACACCAGAAACCTAGATGACTTTGGCTTCCCTCTCCTGTCACTAAATCATGTCGTTGTCCCCTTGCCATGTCACTGGCACTCTCCATCCCTGCTCCTAGTGCCTTCCCAGTCCCTTTTCTTCCTCCTGCTTTGTATGTTTTCATACGTTTCTTATTTAGTTTTCTGCTTTCCTGCATTTCAGTCCGTGTTTTCTTCATGGGTGCTAATAGAGTAGATTTTCCAGTCAACATTTATATCAATCTTCACGACTTAAAAAACATTTCTGATGCTTACTGTCTCCAAGATTAATTCCAGGTTTTCATGGTATAGTATGCAACCTCTGAAGTCATCTGCGTGTGTTTACTCTTTTACTCTCCATAACATCTCTGTGAGATAGGTATTCCTCCTTTTTTTTTTTTTTTTTTAAGTTTGTTTATTTGAGAGGGATGGAGAGAGTAAGAACTCCCATCCTCTATTTGCCTCCCAAATGTGTAAGGTGGCCATGGCTGGGCTGAGCCTGAGGCCAGGAACTCAATCTATGTTTCCCACATGGATGGTGGAGACTCAACTGGTTGAGTCACCACTGCTGCCCCCAGGGTGTGCATTAGCAGGACACTGGACTGGGAAGCAGAGCTGGGACTTCACGCCATGTACTCTGATGGGATACAGGCAGCCCAACCAGTGTGTCAACACCAGGCCAAATGTCCACTCCAAAATAATTTTCTTCATTTTTGCTTCCCTGGTCCCTAGTACAACTCTAGTCCACAGTTGTATAAAAGCTAATTAGCATAGTGATTAATTATTGGTGGAATAAATGAAAGAAAATAACTGTTTTGTCTCACAAAGGTTTTTTGAAAGTCAAGTGAGAGAACAGTATCATATTCGTTATGTAAATGCCATTTGTCATTATGTAAATATAAGGGGTTATTTTTACTCATCTAGTGATGAGTAACTTCCTGAAGGCAGTGCTTGGGTCAAATGCTGTTATTATTGATTTGTATTCTGATTCTGTGGTCTAATCAGTGTGTCTGGTTGCTGGGTTTTGGCTTTTTAATGTTTTTGAAGGGTTGGCCAGTGAGCCATGAGAGACCTGATGAGAAAATTCTACAGGCCCTTGCTCTTTTCCTGTTTGTTGACTTTCTTTCTGTCTTCATGTCAGCAATGGTCAAGTAGAGACATTATACCTTAAGAGAAGTGGTAGTGGCCGGCGCCGCGGCTCACTAGGCTAATCCTCTGCCTGTGGCGCCGGCACACCAGTTCTAGTCCTGGTCGGGGTGCCGGATTCTGTCCCGGTTGCCCCTCTTCCAGGCCAGCTCTCTGCTGTGGCCCAGGAGTGCAGTGGAGGATGGCCCAGGTCCTTGGGCCCTGTACCCCATGGGAGACCAGGAGGAAGCACCTGGCTCCTGGCTTTGGATCAGTGCGGTGTGCCGGCCGCAGTGCACCAGCCGCGGCGGCCATTGGAGGGTGAACCAATGGCAAAAGGAAGACCTTTCTCTGTCTCTCTCTCACTGTCCACTCTGCCTGTCAAAAAAAAAAAAAAAAAAAAAGGTCGTAACATGTGTTTTTAAATACATTTAGATCGGAACTCAGTCTGTGTGGACATGACTCTTGTATTGGGAGGAGAACTGTTTTCTAAGAGGTGAGCAGAAAAGCAGGATTCACTGAAAGGCAGAGAGATAGAACCCACTCAGACATGAGTGCAGGCAACCTCTTGGGGAAGAACTGCCCCAACCCTGGTAGGGGTCGTCCTTTGTATGGGGTAAGGACGGTGCTCAGGGCAGGGCCTGACTGAAGAATCAAAGGACACGGGGTTTGGGATGAGGCTGCAGCACACAGGGTGATCTCCAAGAATGTGTCGTGGCATCTGGTGCCTCATGGAAAGTGAGGCTTAGCTGCCTGATAGGGGATAGGTGCCAAGGCTTCAGCCATGTTGAATTGGCACTGGGATTTGGGTGGTGTGCATGGCTTGGGTGTTGGCAGTCCCTAGCTCCTTGTCCCTCACTCACTCCCTGCCTCACCCACATCCTTTTAAGTATTTCTGGGCCAGATCATCAGGTGTCTTAAGATGTACAGTAGTTTTTTAGTGTATTTTACTTATAAATAAGAGAAAAAAATCATGTAGCTGGACTATGATCATTTTCTCTATAGCTTTCAAATTATATTAAATGTCAGTAGTGGATATTACTAAAATATGCTGTAGTGTTTTTAAATTAAAGACAATATGAGGAAATTTAAGTTCATATTTTTCTTTAATTGAAAGGCAGAGCAAGAAAGAAAGAGAGATTCCGTCTGCTGGTTCATTCACCAAATGTCTGCAACTGTGGATGGCATTGACCCAAGGACTTGAGTCATCACCTGCTGCCTCCCAGGGTGTGCATTAGTAGAAAGCTGAATTGGAAGTGGAGGTGGGACTCAGTCCCATGCACTCCAGTATGGAATGTGGGCAATCCAAAACAGGGACTTAACCTGCTCTACCACAGTGCCTACCCCAAGGAAATGACATTTGAAACAGATAAAACACAAAAGCTTTTGAGGAAAATATGAAGTGGTACTTACTCCCTTAAAATATGGGGAATAAGTCATCAACATAGATCATGGAAAACCTGGTAGTTTTAGTTAAATTTGAAAATAAGCATGTGTGATCCTAGATTTTGTTTCTTAAATAGATTATTAGGGGCAGGAATTCGTTGTGGCAGTTAAGGTCCTTGTCAGAATGCCCATATCTCATATCAGAGTGCCTGAGTTTGAGTCCTGGCTCTACTTGCAATTCCAGCTTCCTGCTAATGTACACTCTGGGAGGCTGCTGGCGATGGTGGCTTGAGTAATTGGGTCCCTGAAAGATGCACACAGGAGACTCACATTGAGTTCCTGACTTTCAGATCAGCCTAGCCCAGCCCTGGCTGTTGTGGGCATTTAGACAGTGAACCAGCAGGTGGGAGATTTCTCTTGTCATTCTTCCTCTCAAATAAGTTAAAAAATAGCTAATAATCTGAACTAGTGGTTATCATTGATATCTTTTGTCACAGCTGATACCCGATACCTGTGTTAATGGAATCTTTTCATGGCCAGTAACTAAAAAACAAACAAGAGGTAGGCATTTGTCATAGTACTTAAAATGTACCTTGGGATACCTGCATCCCATATCCTAGTGCCCAGTTCAAGTTCTGACTTCTCTGCTTCTGATGCAGCTTCCTGCTGGTGCACAACTTGGAAGGCAACAGATGATGGCTCAAGTACTTGGGTCCCTGCCATTCACATGGGAGACCCAGATTGAATTCTGTGCTCCTGGCTCTGTCTTTTCCCAACCCTGGCTGTTGTGGGTTTTTGGAATGAACCAAGAGATGGAGGATCTCTCTCTTGTTTGTCTTTCTCTCTCTCCCTTTCAAATAAAATGAATGTAGATAAATAAAAATTTTTAGAAAGAAAGTTTGGGTTGTTAGAGAGAAAGTGCCTAACAATAATACTACTACTTATTGAAGGTGATTTTTTTTTTGGACAGGCAGAGTTAGACAGTGAGAGAGACAAAGGTCTTCCTTTTCCGTTGGTTCATCCCCCAAGTGGCTGCTACAGCTTGCGTGTTGTGGCCAGTGTGCTGCACTGATCCAAAGCCAGGAGCCAGGTGCTTCTCCTGGTCTCCCATGAAGGTGCAGGGCCCAAGCACTTGGGCCATCCTCCACTGCATTCCTGGGCCACAGCAGACAGCTGGATAGGAAGAGGAGCAACCGGGACAGAATCCGGTGCCCCGACTGGGACTAGAACCCGGTGTGCCGGTGCCGCAGGCGGAGGATTAGCCTAGTGAGCTGAGGCGCTGGCAGGTGAATTTTTTTTTTTTTTTTAAGATTTATTTATGGCCGGCGCCTCAGCTCACTAGGCTAATCTACCTGCAGCGCTGGCACCCTGGGTTCTAGTCCTGGTTGCTCCTCTTCCAGTCAAGCTCTCTGCTGTGCTGCTGTGGCCTGGGAGGGCAGTGGAGGATGGCCCAAGTGCTTGGGCCCTGCACCCGCATGGGAGACCAGGAGTAAGCACCTGGCTCCTGGCTTCGGAGGGGCACAGCGCCGGCTGTAGCGGCCTTTGGGGGGAGTGAATCAATGGAAGGAAGACCTTTCTCTCTGTCTAACTCTGCCTGTCAAAAAAAAAAAAAAAAAGATTTATTTATTTATTTTGAAAGTCAGAAGGAGAGTCCGAGAGGGAGAGCTTTTCTATTTGCTGGTTCACTTCCCAATTGGCCGTAACAGCCAGAGCTGTGCCGATCCAAAGCCAGGAGATTATTCCGGGTCTCCACATGGGTACAGGGGCCCAAGGACTTGAGCCATCTTCTACAGCTTTCCCAGGCTGTAGCAGAGAACTGGATCGGAAGTACAGCAGCCAGGACTCGAACTGGCACCCATATGGGATGTCAGCACTGCAGGCAACAGCTTTACCTGCTATGCCACAATGCCAGCCTCTAAAGAAAAATCTTTTTAAAAAGAACTACTTATTTAAGAGGCAGAGAGAGAAAGGCAGGCTTCCCATCTGGGTCACTCGTCCAGTTGCCTGCAGTGGTCAGAACTGGGCTAGGCTGAAGCTGAAAGCAGGAAACTCAATCCAGGTCTCCCGCGTAGGGGACAGGAACCCAATTCCTTGAGCCGTCATTGCTGCCTCCCAGGGTCTGCATTAGCAGGTAGCTGGAGTCAGGAGCTGGGAATTGAACCCAGGAACTCAGTGTGAGACACAAGTGAGCAGGGAAGGATACAGGTGTTATAACCAGCATCTTAACCATTAAGCTAACATCTGCTGCTAAGGGAGTGTTTAACAGAACAAGTAGTGAGTCTGTGTACTTTGAGATCCTTGTTGAAGTAACTTCATGAGGTGACAATGATACTAGGTATTTGGTTAACTATTTCACGGTGGATTAGCCTGAAAATAGAAAATTTGGTCAATACGAATTTTTATTTTGGAGTCAGAGAGCTATTTTAGGGGCCCGCTGCCTGGAAAGGCCATCCCAGGGACAGCAGATCCCTTAGTTCCTAAAAACAGCTGTGTCAGTGGCCTGGCTTCTCCTGACCATGCGAGGGTAATCGAGCCCAGCTCATGAACCCTTCTCTGTTTTCTTTGCAGCTAGCCACGGTGCAGCCTGGCCAGAATTTCCACATGTTCACAAAGGAAGAGCTTGAAGAGGTTATCAAGGACATTTAAGGAAGTGTGAGCCTCACAACTTTCCAGGGACAATTTCAGTTCTCCCGATTGCCCTTAAATTTTATTTCCAGCTCCTATTCCTTGGAAAATCTCCAGTCTATGTGCTTTTTTTTTTTTTTTTAAATGATGTCTGTACATAAAGACAGTTCTGAAATAAAGAAATTTTAAGATATTTAGTAGACTGTTCTTTTAAAATGCAGTCTTGTCTTGAAATGCTTATGTTAGTGGGCAAAAAAGATAGTGATATTAATGTCTGTTAATACCTTATTAAAGCTCCTGTTCTAAAATTCTTTCAGTGGTCCTTAGAACAGCCAGTTCCAGCAGTGGACCCCTTGGTCTTGGTAAATTATCTCAAACTCATCCAGCTCTTCTTGGTGGTTAGATCATGGTAATACCACTGTAAGTCTACTTCAGTCCTGGGGTTTCTCTTAAGTAAATAGGTATTTTGCTGCTGTCCTTAAGGAATAAGATGATATTCACTGATCATCAAGGGCATGATCTGAGGCCCTCCTCAAAACATTGACAGATTGGAATAAGCCACTTAGAGTGTTGTACTTACTAGTTCTTGTGTCTGAATGAACAATTTGGGAAGAGATTTTCCTTTTTATGAAGTTAAGGACTATAGAAAATCCACAATCAGGGCCTCACTGGCAGTCGGCTACAAATCTCAACCAAATCAGTAAGAGAATTGTAGAATTCAGAAGCAGTTTACGTTAGACTGTTGGGATGTGTTGTGACATCTCCCATTAGAGCTGCCATGATATGGCTTGTTGAGAGTGTTAAAGAATTTAACAATTTCAGCCTCAAAAACAACCACAGAAAGTAGCTGTCATTATCTCTAAATAGAGGAATCTAAGGCTGTGGACACAGAAATTAAGCTGTTGGGCCTTGAATTCAGATTTTGTGGTTTCAGAACACCTGCTTGTGTATTAATATGGAAATATTATGGAGATTTGAGATGTACTTGAGCTAATTCATGGATGATATAGAATTGATTAATTCATAAATGAGAGTTGATTTACTAATGAGGACGCCAGAACCACTTGCTGGGCTCCATGTGTGGTCTTTATTAGAAAGTGTACTCTGTGATGTTTAAATTGTGACTGTTTGAGTAGGCTGAATTCATACTAAGTTCATCCTGTAATTAAAGCAAAAAATAATGTGCTTATATGCATTTGGAAACTGCAATGACAGGAAGCATTTGAAAGAAAGAAATTGCACTAGATGCACACAAGGACAGTAGGGTATTAGAGTGTATTGGCACCATGTTCCAGAGAAGTCTGGTGATTTTATCCCTCTTAACATTTTATTAAGTCCTACTAGAGAATAGCATTGAAAAATCCTGTCAGCTCCAGTTGATTCCTTAAACAAATTCATTGAGCACCTATCACCTATATACCAAACAGTGTATTAAGCAGAGCTGTGAAAATGCTAAGTACACTCTGCTCCTAGTGAAACTCACTGCTGGGAGGGGGAACCAGGAAGTAAACGATATTCCCTCTGACACTGTAGGTAGTACAGAAGAGGGCAAAGCACATGGTGCTCCAGGAAGAGGAACTGTGTCTGGGCCACGTATATCATTTTAGGGGAAAAAATGCATCTCCAGTTTATGTGGTTTCCCTTCTGCCTGGACAATGTGCATTTCTGCCTGTTAAAATGGTAAATTTCATGCCCTTAATACTTAATAATGTACATTCTCCAAAGAGAGCTTTGGTTTTGTGTTGAATATTAAAACAAGTTTCTTGTGCAGAAATGATTGAAGGAGAGGGTTTTATGATGTGTCATCGCTCTCTATTCATCTTTGTGCCATTGGATGTAGTTCTGGAGAAAAAGGTAGGTTTTAGTAATAAGGTAAATTTGCATATTTTAGCCCTACACAGTATGACCTTGTGTGCAGTTTTTCACAAAGGAGAACTGACTGCAACATTTATACCTAGTGCCTGTGTCATAAGACAAAAGTGAGGGGCCGGCACCATGGCTCACTTAATCCTCTGCCTGTGGCACCGGCATCCCGTATGGGTGCTGGGTTCTAGTCCAGGTTGTTCCTCTTCCAGTCCAGCTCTTTGCTGTGGCCCTGGAAGGCAGTGGAGGATGGACAAAGTGCTTGGGTCCCTGCACCCACGTGGGAGACCAGGAGAAGCACCTGGCTCCTGGCTTTGGATCAACGCGCGCCAGCCGTAGTGGCCATTTGGGGAGTGAACCAGCGGAAGGAAGACCTTTCTTTCTCTCTCTCACTGTCTAGAACTCTGTCGAATAAATAAAAAAAATTAAAAAGACAAAAGTGAAATACTAAATATTCACCCAAACATTTTCGCAGGGCCACATGCAAACTAACACCATGTCCCCAGCAACCGTTAGAGTTTTAGGAAATACAGTAAGCGTAGATTAAGTAAATGCAACATATCAAAAATAAAGGTAAACAACCCAGTTGAGATAGGCAAAGGAAATAAACAGATTTTTCAAAAGAGGAAATCCAAATGGCCAACAGACAATTGAAACAATGTTCAGGAGCACTAGCTGTCAGGGAAATGCAAATCAAAATCACAATGCAGTTTCACCTCACCCCAGTTAGAATGGCTGTCATACAGAAATCAATAAGTGCTGGGGGCCAGCACTGGTGTAGTGGGTAAAGCCACCGCCTGCAGCGCTGGCATCCCATCTGGGTGCTGGTTTGAGTCCTGGCTGCTCCACTTCCCATCCTGCTCTCTGTTATGGCCTGGGGAAGCAGTAGGAGATGATGGCCCAAGCCCTTGGGCCTCTGCACCTGCATGGGAGACCCAGAGGAAGATCTTGGCTCCTGGCTTCAGATCGGCACAGCTCAGGTCTTTGAGGCCAACTGGGGAGTGAACCAGCAAATGGGAGACCTCTCTCTGCCTCTCCTCTTCGCTCTGTGTAACTCTGACTTTTAAGTTAAATAAATAAATCTTTGTAAAAAAAAAAAAATGCTGGCAAGGATGTGGGGAAAAAAGTTACCCTAATACACTGTTGGTGGGAATGTAAACTGATAAAACCACTAAGGAAGACAGAATGGAGGTAACCTCAGAAATCTGAATATAGACCTATCATATGACTCAGCCATCCCACTCCTGGGAATTTACCCGAGGGGAATGAAATCAGTAAACAAAAGAGTTATCTGCACCTCATGTTTATTGCAGCTCAATTCACTATAGCTAAGACATGGAATCAACCTAAATGCCTGTCAACCAAAGACTAGATAAATTATGGGATATGTACACTATAGAATACTACACAGAAGTAAAAAAAAAAAAATGAAATCATCATTTGCAACAAAATGGATCAATCTAGAAAACACCCTGCTGAGTGGATTAAGCCAGTCCCAAAGGGACAAATACCATATGTTCTCCCTGAAAAGTGACAACTAACTGAGCACCTACAAGCAAATCTGTAGAAGTGAAAATGACACTTCAAGAAGGGATGATTTGAGCTGCCCTTCTCTTGACTGTTGAGGAACAGGTTTTTTTTTGTTTTTTTTTGGGGGGGGTTCTTCATACTATTTGTTGAACTGTTAAAGTTAATCGTGTATAAAGTCAATTGAAAATAGATCTCAGTAAAAAATGGGAATATGGGAAGTTTGTAACTGTAAAGCTGTATAGTTCTGCGTACATTCCTATGGACTTCTAAGTTTAAAAACTTGCCACAGGACCCCCAAATCCCATTAGGCTTGGTGGTAAAAATGTCATCTTAAGTGTTAAAGTGAACATATAGATACGATTAAGTGTTAAAGTGATCATATAAATAGGATCAAGTGTCTGGTGATAATAGAATTTAAAAGGAGAGAATATTCCAACATGGGAAGCAGTCCACACAGTAGACTTAGAATGACAACTGCTTTAAGTAACATTCTTGACCTCAGAATCAGCCCTTAAGGCTTCCTGGTCTGGCTGAAAAGCCTGTGAGAGCATTTCATGCATGAAAAGCCAAGACACTGTGGCAAAAAATGTTCTACATGAAGGATCTCTGAGATCCCAGCAGAAAGAAGTGGCCTTCAAAGAAGGATGTTCTTTTCTCTAAAGGGAGGAAAGAACTTAACTTTGTTTACAGCCTTGTTCAAATACTGACAGAGTTTGTGGATTCAAAAGGCTTCCATAGCCTAAGCAGTTCATGTCAAAAGCCTCGGATGCTGGGGCCGGCACTGCGGCACTGCGGCACAGTGGGTTAAAGCCCTGGCCTGAAGCACTGGCATCCCATATGGGCGCCGATTCTAGTCCCGGCTGCTCCTCCTCTGATTCAGCTCTCTGCTATGGCCTGGGAAAGCAGTAGAAGATGGCCCAAGTCCTTGGGCCCCTGCACCCATGTGGGAGACCTAGAGGAAGCTCCTGGCTCCTGGCTCTGGATTGGCACAGCTCTGGCTGATGCAGCCATTTGGGGAGTAAACCAGTGGATGGAAGACCTCTCTCTCTGTCTCTACCCCCTCTCTGTAACTCTGTCTTTAAAATAAACAAAATAAATCTTAAAAAAAAAAAAGCCTCAGATGGTCACTGATGTCATACATAAAAGAGTGTTAATTGTTAAATTAACAACAGGAGTCACTGTGCATTAACTCCCCATGCAGGACCTCTCTTCAAGAGTTGTATTATGAGAGTTAACAGTAAAACTAGTTCTCATTTTGTGTGTGTGTGTGTTCGCATGCGCGCGCAAATTGTTAAACTCTTAGTATAGAGTTAGGCTTCTGTGTATAGTTAATTGAAAATGAATCTTAATGGAGAATGGGACTGGGAAGAGGAGAGGGAGGAGAAGGGGGAGTGGGAGGGCAGGTATGGTGGGAAGAATAACTATATTCCTAAAGTACTTATGAAATTTGTATTCCTTAAAAATAAATTAAAAAGAAAATTAAAGGTAAATGATAATTGCAACATAGTTAAAAGGTGTATTTGTTCATTCTCCCGAAAGATGGCACTGTTGAGCTGGGTTTTTCCTCTTCTTATAGTAAGACAATAGACTATTCATCTTTGTGTCACCCAAACAAAGAAATACTCCTTTATAGGCCCTCCTCTCCCCCCAACTAATCACATGCTTCTGGAACTGACTGTCGTGTGATCCACTCCTCAGTTGGCATCGTTTAAATAATTTGTATTTTAAAAAATAGTCTGACACATAGTAGTTACGGAAAGGAACAAAGTATTCACCAGCACAAGCTTTCCTTGTCAGTCCAGTAACAAAACTTGGAGGACTGCCCTGGTGGCATTCAGAAACATCTTCACTTCTGCCACACCGGCGTTGTGTGTGTGTGTGTGTGTGGCGGGGAGGGATGGACGGTTGTGAATCTTTGTACAAGTTAACATGACCAGAGAGTCCTTTGATGCAAATACTGGGTTGGGTGCACTGCACCATTTTGCTCCATAGCAAACATACCCTCCTCTGAGTTTCCGCCAGATTACGGTGAAGTCATTTTGTCAGTTTATCTGAGTGCCATAGTTTGTATCTTTCTGCTTGCCACCTTGTCTGTGGACCAGTGTCTAGCATTTGGAAGGGATGGAGTCAGAATTAAAGGATTCAGAACTGGCTTTACCTGTACTGCCTGTTCCAGAAGTCTTGTGCGCAGCATCTTCGGTAAAGGGAACGGTGTGGGGGTTTTATTTCTTGGAGGCGGGGTGCTGATTTGGGGACATCGTGTACTGGAACCAAACTTGAGCAATGCGGTCACTGCCAGGTAGAACTGACGAAGCCCTGATATGCATCTGTGCAGTGCTCATGTGTGTATAAAGCAGGCATCGGGCAGTTCTCCTGGCCCCTTTTACTTGCCCGTAAAACCTGGAGCTATACCCAGAATCCAGGAAAAGCCATAGCGATTCCTCGTTCGGCCTGCCTCCCCATAGAAGAGACTGGCCAGGCAGGCCGAATGTGCAGGAAGGCGCCTCTCCCGGCTCGCAGGACTGGCGGAAGCCCTGGAGTCTATCTGCCTCCGCAGCACTGGGCCCACACCAGTGCGCGTTCATCTCCCGGGCCTCAGGGCGGCTGCCTGCGCAGACAATGGGCGCTCGGGCGAGCAGAGGCTAAAACCTGCAGCACCGGTTCCAGGAGAAGCCCCCCTTCCCCAGCCGAGGGAGCGCAGGGAGCTGGTAAAGATCGCCAGGCGCCACTCAACCGGAGGGGCTTTCGGGGAGTCTCGGGGCGGGGGCGTCGTAGCCCAAGTTCCAGCGTGAAGGCGCCTGAGGAGCTGCGAGGGGTCGAGGGCGCCACGGCGCGAGGGGCTTCGAGGGCAGGTTGGAGGAACTCTGGAAGGCCGGCCCCGGAGCCGCCGGGCGAGGGGGTGACCTCAGCCGTCCCCGCCACGTTCCAGCCAATCAGTCCCGCAGGTTGGCATCCGAATCCCAGACCCCCGAAGCCGGAGGCAACGCGAGCCAATGAGGAGTGGGCCGGGGAAGAAGGACAGGCGGGCCGTCCCTGCGGGCGCGGAGGCCGGGCCGCGCGTATCCAAGGAGCGCCCCGCCGCGCTCGGGGGTGTGGCGCGGCGCCGGCGGGGGTGGGCGGGCGCGCCGGGCGGCAGGTGTCAGCGGCGTCGGCACTCGGCGGCGATGGAGCGGCCCCGGGCAGCTGCGGGCGGCCTCTCGCGCCAGCCCCGCGGCCTCGGCCTCGGCCTCCTCCTCCTCCTCTTGCAGCTGCTGCCGCCCGCGACCCTCGGCCAGGACCGGCTGGACGCGCCGCCGCCGCCCGCCGCGTCGCTGCCGCGCTGGGCCGGCCCGCTCGGTGTGAGCTGGGGGCTGCGCGCGGCCGCGGCCGGGGGCCCGTTGGCCCGCGGCGGCCGTTGGCGCCGCAGCGCTCCGGGCGAAGACGGGGACTGCGGCGGGGTCCCGGACTTCGTCTCCAAGCTGGTCAACAACACGCACCAGGTGAGCGCGGACCGACCCCCGGCCGCCGCCCGAGCCCGCGGCGGGAGGAGCCGGCCCGGGCCGCGGGGCTGTGTGTTTCGTCACAGCCGCGGCGGGCTCGGGTTCTCACGGCGTTCTGTGAGTTGTCAAAGCCTGCCGGGGCGGCGGCGTCTTCCCGTGTGTGTGTATGTGTGTGTATGTGTCAGGGACGAGCAGCCAGGCTCGCGGCCGCCGGCTCGGCGGCGCCTGGCGGAGGCGCTGGGCCGGGCGGAAGCCGAGGCGCGGCCTCGGGGCTGGGCAAGCGCAGGCCGGCGAGGCGGTGTGTGGAGGCCCCGGCGAGGCTTGGGGGACTCGAGGCGTGTTCTGATAGTTCAAGGAGCGGTCATTAGGACGCAGCGTCTGGGCCGTGTCTCCTGCCCCGCGCGAGCTGGCCTCGTCCCGTGGTACCGGAACGCCGACCGCGCTGTCTGCCTCCTGTAGAGGCCAGATCGCCAGCAGTTCAGAAAACACATTGCGGATGCTACGCTTGGAGCCAGTTACTGAGATCGAAAGGCTCTGTCCGTGGGGGACCGGCAGCTCCACCTTTGTAGCTCCATCCTGGCCTTCGGTGGGAGTTGGGCTCCGAAGTTAACCATTTAGTTGTTGCTGCCCACACGTGTGTTCTTCCTCTGGTCTTTCCCTCGTCCACAGAGAATGGCACGTGGGAACAGTGAGGAACCCATCACTCGCCCTGTGGCTGCACCTGTTCTTGTGTAACCCCATTCCTTTCCCGGGTCAGCCGCCCTCGGTCTCCCCTGGACCGTGCTGAGCGCCGGTGACACAGTTCTCAGCTCTGGGGACACCAGTATGCCAGGATCAGGATGACTGTGCTCAACTGGCTAAAGATAGCCCGGCGGTGCAGACGGGGTGGGGGGCGATGAGCGCAGCCGGGGTGGGATGGCACGGAGAGGCCCTCCTGTTTGATGAGCACAAGGTGGTTGAGTAGACTGCGTTTCCACAGCTTCCGGTTTTTAATTTCTGTCCAGACCTGCCCCCTTCCTTGGGCCAGCTGCATACAACATTCTTACTTCATAGCCAGAATCATCTTCTCTCCCTGGTTGGCCTACCTGGGGCTTGCTGCTGCTCATGTATTTATTTCTTAACCAGATTCTCCCTGGTTAGTTTGAGTTGATATATTGTTTGTAAATGTACATTCCAAAACAGGATGTGGAGAGAGCTGGCCCAGGCCCTTCTGAGGCCAGATCCGCTCTGGAGCAGATCTGACACTGCTCATTCATTGACAGTCCATGAGTGAAGACATCCCCTTCTTTTCATTTTATTCAGTTACTGTTGCCAGTGAGTTGCTTTTTTTTTTTTGGAAGTCAGTCTTCTTTCAGTAACCTTATTTAAAATAAGCCTTTCTGCATTCTTTGCTCACCCAGGGTCGTTTCTCCAAAGATCACAGCCTTTTAGCGGCTTGTTTATTTGGAAGAGCCTTCATCAACAGCCTTTACCATAGAAATGGTTGAGCAGTGTCACTCCCTCCACTCTGGAGGGGCTCACTTCCTCAACCAGGGGGTGTTCGGGAGGAGTTGGTTCTGCTTTTCAGTCCGGTGTATTAAAGAAGTCCCAGTGAATCATCCTGAGCCGTGCTGAAGAGGTCGGGTATTTTCTGGCCCCTGGTAAACAGTTTGAAATAAGTAAACAGTTTGAAATAAAAGTGTCCACATGACAGAACAACTTTTTGTCTTTTTTTTTTTTTTTCTTTTTGGTCTAAGGTGGTAAGTGCTTTGGCACAGCTGGGGAAGGGAAAGACACTTAGTCTGATTTTTCTTGTGTTTTGTAACGAGATTGAATCCCTAAGAAAAAATCAAGAGTTCTTGGTTCTCCGTTAATTTCTTATACCTGACTGCTGTTCTTTGCAAGCGGCATAATTCATATAATCACTGATTGTGAGTGCTCTCCAGACGCCCACCTCTGTGCCAGAAGCTGGGGGTGCCAAGGGAGGAAGGGAGGATGGTTTGCTGAAGGTTTCGGCATATCTCCTGGGCCTGTTTCTATGACTTGTGAGAAGATAGCGGCATTTAACTAATCTCAAGACAGCTGAGCCAAGCCAAAGCGTGATAGGGCTGTGGTTTATGGTTTTAGGGGACCTGCGCCCTGATAGCCTCCAATTCAGGCTTCTTCATTCATTGCCCTCTTTGCCCAAAACCCCCTGTTTCTCTCCAGGAGGTTTCCCTTCATTGTCCTCTCTTTTCAATCTGTGTGTTTAAATTACTTCAAATGTGTTGCATTTATTGGGGACGCTATATAGTTTTCACATAGAAGCCATGCTTATCTGCTCTATTTTGGCATTTAGAGGGAGGAGAGGGACATGTTTTCCTTCTAGTGGCAGTATTATAAATAACTTAGACTCATGGGAAAGAAAGTGAAAATTAAAAACGTTGGCTGTTACTGAGAATGGAAAGCAGAAGGAGCAACAAGAAAACAAAGGAGAAAGACAGCCACACTTTACCAAAATTCTGCTTCCAAGGTTGGCTCTGAGGGCTGGACATGCCACGGAAGGGCAACGTAGCCCCAGGGGGCAGGCAGGCTTTGAGGCCAGCCTGCACTGGAATCCAGACTGTGTCACTTCATAGCTGTGTGATCTGGGATCAGTTACTTAAGTCCTCTCTGTCTCTGTTCCTCATCCCTAAAATGGAGAAAACAAGAGTGCTTATTCCCTCATAGGGTGGTTGTGGGAGTTAAGTGACTGTGCATCTAAACTGGGTTACGTCTTAACTCAGCAGAACAGTGTCTACTGTTTCATTAGGACCCAGTAAGAAGTTAGCTTTTGTTTCTTATTAGGAGTGATTTGTAAGCACGCATTTCTTACACAAGTGGATGGTCTTGTTGTCCTCGACCCCAAACAATTCTTGTGCTGCACCTTTTTTTTTTTTTTTAAGATTTATTTATTTACTTGAAAGGCAGAGGGAGAGAGGTCTTCCATCTGCTGGATCACTCCTCAGATGGCCGCAATGGCCAGAGCCGCACCAATCCGAAGCCAGGAGCCAGGAGCTTCTTCCAAGTCTCCCAAGGACTTGGGCCATCTTCTTCTGCTTTCCCAGGCCATTGCAGAGAGCTGGATGGGAAGTGGAGTGGCCAGGTCTTGAACTGGTGCCCATATGGGATGCCAGCACTGCAGGCGGTGGCTTTACCTGCTACACCAAAGCATAGGCCCTTGTGTGGCACTTTTAATGATTCTTTCCTCCGGGTGCGTAGAGTGTCCATAACATGTATCCCTGTGTACATGACAGATCCTGAGCAGGCCTGGGAGATTTTATTGACGTTGGTTGCTAAGTTGAGTTGCCTGAACACATTTCTCCTGTAGGCACCCCTTTGAGGGCAGCCATGAAACTCTTTAAAGACCCAGGTGCAGCGCTTGGCCAGAGTTTTGGTGATGGCTGACATAATTTCCTTACTTCTCCTTCCTGTGTACAAACCCTCTGACAATTTCCTCAAAACTTTGGCAACTTCCAATTAACAGAGCTGAGAACTGTTGCCCGTTTTCTCTCCTCCCTGCGCTCCTGTCACCAACTGCTTCTGTCCACATAACTTCCCGACTCCCAGCCCAACCTCAGAGCAACTGGTTCCTTAGATAAACAGGCGCTGCCGGGAGGCCGCGGTGTACGGGGTGGCAGTTCCAGAAGAATGCGCGTGTTTGTTTGCCGGCTCTGGCAGGGCTGCGGCGGGCCGATGGGACTGAATGTGCCCGTGGCAGCCTGCTTTGCATCACCAGTCCTCTACAGCCCCCTGCCACACGGAAGGTCAGTGCCTTTAGCCTCCCTGGAACGTTCTCACTGCCTTGTCAATGCCTGGACCGAGCCTGTGTCTGCGGTACCCTTACCTGCACACCTGCTCCCACCGGGGCTCGTTTAATCTCTTGGCTCATGTTTCTTCCAACCTGTTTTGGGCAGAGGAACAGGAACTCTGGAGGCCCTGCTTGGTCCTGGTTGAAAGAGCAAGCAAAACCCTCAGGAAATGTCCACCCGTGCACGGTGTCCTGGTCAGACCCTCAACCCTGAGAAGGGCATCAGGCTGGCGTGTGGACCAGGGGTCTCAGCAGCTCTGGAGAAGTGTCATTTTAATCTGGGGAAAGGTCCTAGCCAGGTGTGACCGATGGCTCACAGGGGGACAGCTGGCTTTGGGCATCACAATCCCAAATCCAAGCTTTGAGTCTTCCGCCTGCTTGTGGAAGAGGGCGTGTGCCCTGGTCCACTTCCTTGCTGTCATAGCGGCACTCGCAGGCTCTGCACCCTACTGCTTCTCATCTGCACCTCAGGGACACACAGGTTGGCACCAGCTTCCCCTGCACTCTGCTGACCCCCACCCAACTCTTGCCGGCAGCCGTTGGCCTCTCAGCGGCTGACAGCAGTGACTCTGCTCCCCAAGTGGGGCCGTCACCTGCCAGGCCATGGGTTGTAGTGCTGAGAGAGGGAGAGTAAGGTCTTCTCACCCCCCCTCCTTCCCTTCCCTCCCCTGCCCTTCAGCTTCTGTCTCCCCAGAAAGTGACCTGTGTTTTGAGGCTGGATAAATGAGGCCTACGTGTTTAATATGATTAGGGGACCAATATTAAGGCAGAGAAAACCATCAAATTTGACATGCAGTTGTTCCTAGGAAGAACTATGTGGTTATGTTCCAAAACAGCTACTGCATCTTTGCATGTCTATGAATTTTCAGTTCCCTTTTTCTCCCTTTGCTGCCACTTTAATCTGTTTCTCTATTACTCACCTGTTTTAGAAACTTAGCAAAAACTTGCTTTTTTTTAAGGTTTATTTATTTATTTGAAAGGCAGGGTTACAGAGAGGCATAGGCAGAGAGAGAGAGGTCCTCCATCCTCTGGTTCACTCCCCTGATGGCCATGATGGCAGCCAGAGCTGGGCTGATCCGAAGCCAGGAGCCAGGAGCTTCTTCCAGGTCTCCCACGTGGGTGCAGGGGCCTAAGCACTTGGACCATCTTCTACTGCTTTCCCGGGCCATAGCAGAGAGTTGGATGGGAAGTA